CATTTTAAAAGCAAAAAAAGGGCCATTTTAGTAAAACAAAAATGTTGCCTTTAAAAACAAATTCTAAACTTTCAAGCCTCCAATTTAATATGCTTAGTAATCAACTGTCGCCTCTCCTAAATTTGCAGAACATTTTTAGCTGTTGAACAAGAACTTTCCATGTATTTTCTTAATTAATTGCTTCTAAGATACATTTACCAAGAATACAAAGAATTCCCCATGAAATACATTTTATCTTTGAGAAGCAGACAACTATAGGTTTCAGCTATCTTTCTTTTTTTAACCTAAAAATTAATAATGGATAATCATGATGAAAAAATCAGTACCAATGACTAACTATTCTCACCAATAAGGATAGGAAAGTTACTTTAAAATTATTTTTAATATTTACTTACAATCAATTATCGAAATATTGTTCCCTACCAGCTAAAATATTACTTTTATCCTCAATACTAAGTGTTCATGACCCCAAATGTTATATTTAAGGCACAAAAATACATACTACTTTTGTACAACAAAATTATACTTTATGAAGATCAAAACTAAACGCCTCTTGGTTAGTATCAATTTAAGTCAGAGCTTGAGAGAAGGAAATCTTTATTTAAATGATTGCTTTTTTTCCTTCATGAAGCAAAAATAATGCTGACTTTTCTAGGAAAGACTGTAGAGAAGAGAAAGAAGCCGCTGACTCTCTAACTTCTCTTGTTCTGACATATAAAATATTTGAAATCCTTATGAAAATTATCCTAGGCTGTAAGGTTCCCAAGAAAACAAATTATAATATTGGGGAAGAGGCTAAGCTTTGCTAAACATGGGCTGTCTCTCCCACCTTCTCCCCCCAACTTTTCCCATAAAAGCAACCTCTACTAATAAAACAAAGCATCCTTTAGGAAGTAGCTCCCTACAGGATCCTATCTCTCCTTGAGTGCTTACCACAATCTGATTTCTGGACAGCTGACCCAAAGTTTGTTGATTTTACTGATCTTCAGAAAGCCACTGACTGGCTAAAGTCTTATTGGTGAACAGAGTCAAAAATCAGATGCCCCTGCCATACTTTACAGAATGAGGAGTTGGACAACACAGTTACGTTTGGCTGCACTGTGGTGAAACATATGAGGCATCTTCTTTTTGTCTTCAATTAGCCACGTTTGGGCTGAGTAGCGCTATTACATCTTCAAAAAACTGAGCTCCAGTTCTTGATGGAGATAGAGGAAGGTCATTGAGGAGGTGGTTCAGCTCAAGAGCTAAGTGAAAAATCTGTCTTTTGATTCAGTCCTGCTTGTGGACAGCAGTCATCTTCTGGATGGAAGAGGGAGTGAGATGACCTAGAGTCTTGAATTGGTGGATCTGCAGGAACAGAAACTAAATACAGTGGAGACCTCTTAACTGAGTAACACCACGAGATGGATTTCCTGACAATGTGTCAGTATAAGCTAAATATAAAGATCAAACATGTGCAATGGAACTTATCATGCACTTGTTTTTCCAGATATCAAATGCATTTGTACCATTCTACGAGTAAATGCGTTTCTCAATAACTAACTGTAAAACAATTTATGGAAAAACTACCAAGTTAAGGGGGAAAAAAGACCCATTCAAATAAAAATCTATATACTTTGCCTTTGTGAGTGCCATACCCTCAATTTAAAAACTCAGTTCTTCTTTCTAATGACTTTTTCTCCATATAGTGTCAGCATAACATACATTAAATTCTAATTTGAGTTGCATCTTTTAGGTTTTTTTATCCCCTAGAGAAATGGAATTTAAATACACTCAAGGTACTAAATTGAAGTTTGAATAATCTACCTGCTTGTAAATTCTAAAACTTGCATTAACTAAGCTGAGTCCTACGTATCAATCAAAAGAAGACTATATATACATGAAGTCAGGCAATCTTTAAATGTGAGTGGTGGCCACCTTAAGTTTCCCTCAAACTTTCATCTGGAAAAAAAACTAAGAAAGCCCAAAACCAGATTACAGTGGGTCTAATTTAAAATTTCTCTATATATTAACAAGAATTTTGATGGACATTTGATTACTTACTTCCACTTACAATTTGAATACGTAAATTTACTGTATATACTCTCATAATTATTAGACCAAGGGTCAGCAAACTATGGCCTATGGGCCAAATCCAGACTGTCACTTATTTTTGTAAATAAAGTTTTATTGAGACACAGCCACACTTATTCAATTATGTGCTATGACTACTTTGATGCTACAATGGCAGAAAAAGTAGTTGCAATAGAGACTGCAAAACCTAAAACATTAACTGGCCTTTTATAGGAAAAAGTTTGCCAACCCCTGATATAGACGATTATTAATACACATGTAAGACAATTTATACTTTAAATTGTTTTGAAAGAAAGATAAATAACAAGTAGAATTAAAATTAGGTATAGTTCAACCATAACAAACTTACCACAAAAAGAAAACAAAAGTAAAAAAAGTTCCAAGAGGATATTTTGTCTGGCTTTGATTCAGATGAAGAATTTCATCCTATCTTAACATTATCATTTTATTTTTAAGAGTATATACATAAATGCCACGGAACTGACATGTTCAAGAGTATATAGACAAGTGCATGGAATTGTTCACTTAAAAATGGTTAATTTTATGTTTTGATTTTCACCTCAATAAATTATTATTTAAAAGAGTATATACAGTATTTTACAGGATTCTACCTTTAAGTGGGCCACATTATATTGTAGTGGTTAAATATGTAAGTTACATCTTACCTAATAATGTGGTTTCTCCAAAATCTCTTAGATCATCTCAGACCCTTGTGTATATTTCTTCTTTGCCAGTAGATGGAGACAACACCACTGAAAGTTTAAAAGACATCATTCCCTGTTTAAAGGGAGCTTGCTGGTCTGAAACTGGGGGGGAACCCTAACCCAAGATATCTTCCAAGTTATTTTTAAAAAAGCAGACAGAATGGCTATGCCAAAACCAGAAATCCAAGGGAATTACCCAATATTAGCTATGGACATCCTCAAAAATTTACTGAAGGGGACCTAAACTCTGTACATGATGTAGCAACTAAATCATAATTTAAAATGCAATCATCTCTATAACTTGTAAGATTCAAACTTCTTGCTCATTGCTCCTGATTTAGGCTAGATCATTTATTTTTCAGTCACAAAGGGTAATAAAGAATATACAAGAAAAAGAGTTCTTTGAACTCCACCGAGGTAGATGCAGTACATATATGGTTTTTGTAAGCATTAAGTCATATGCACTGCTAGAAGCCTTTTATTCAAAATAAGACATCTATCCAGATCCACATGAAAATAATAAGAACTTTATAAAGAAGAGAATTAAAGTAGAAATGGTAAAAGCAGTAAGAAAAAATTCAATTTTATGGTCACACTGAAAAGAAATGCTCATGAATGGAAAGAATCAAACTCATCTACTTTCCAAGTTTCTTACTTCACTATTAAAAATTATATAAACAGACCAAAACCATCTGCAAGAAATAAATTTCAAATCTAGAAGCTTAAGAAATCTCAAAATAATTACTTATCTATATTTTTCAAAAAACAGCTTTCCTTTACAAATTCAAAGCCTGAAAGCCATTGTTTTTAAGTGCAATTGTGAACAAAAAACAAGGTCGTCAAGCTAAAAAGAGAGAACTAAGATATTGCTATACTATTTATATTTGCCACAAGACTCCTGTCCTTGAAGTGCACTAAACAAGAACAACATATCTGGCAGAAAATGTCTTATTAAGAAAAAGATTCACCTTAAACCAAATAATATCCAGTTAAAAAGGAATATAAAAATCTTAAAATCTTTTATTTTTATGTATATTTTGCTCATCCTCTGATCATTTATCAGAACTAAAATCAGTTTACATAAAAGAGAAATGAATATAGTATTCAGATATTATCATACCTACAATACCACTCTAGGTTAAACTAGAACTGACAATAACTGCTAAAATAAACCCTCTTATGACTCATTACAAGATAAAGTAGCTAAGCAGACCCTGAACCACAAACTTCTATTTAACCCTGAAATTTTATGATTCCCAAGAGATAACTATCATGTGCCAAGAAAACCATACCCACATTCTAACTGCCTATTAAGAGCACATAAACAACCATAAACATCTTTTCATCATCCTCATGGTAAATGTTCTGTGACTAAATTTATTTAGTTAATCCTTGGGTTGGCTTCCTCTTGACAAACAACAGACATTTTGACCCTTTCCCAATCCTTCAACAACTGGTATGTAGTAGGAAGGTAATGCTAATTAAATCACCACCACCACCACCACAGAAAGGCACTTTGCAATTTTCAAAGTGTATTCACATATATTAATTAATTCAAATTTTATGATAGAAAAATCTCAAGCATAAAAAACTATGGCCAACACAAAAAATTCATAGTGAAATGTAAATGATATTTTTATCTTGCACTGTTACCTGTCCATCAACACAGATGAGGGAGAAATGCTTATACCCAAATTTTTTAAGCAAAGCAATAACTAGAAGAGTGTCCTGGAATTCTGTGATTAATATAAAGTAGATCCACCAAACTGCAATCTACAGACCACATTACTAGAAAAGGAAATAAAAATGACCAACAAGGAATGAGATTTCTTTATATTAATTGGATTGGGGCTAGGGGGGTGGGGGGGTGGAATACCAGGTGTTAACCTGGCGATTTCTTCTTGGGGATCTATGATGTCAGTGCTCCTGCCTCCACCTGCTGGCAAACAGATTATCAAACTAGCAGAGATCACTGGGTAAAAAAAGTTCACATTTTTTTTGGTAACAAATTAATGTTGTTTTAAGTAAATATTTAGCTTGATGCTACTTTGCGTTAATAAATCATTAAAATATTGATGAAATCCATTAAAAAAACACATTAAACTTCACCAAAAAAAATATATATATATACATACACACACACACACACACACACAAAAGATTTCTTGGTTTAGAATGTTATCTAACAAGCCAAAAATCAAGTTAAAAAAATTTTTAAATTACCTGATAAATGACATCTTGGAAAAGGACTGGAAAAGTAAGTGCTGCATCTTCTAGTTCATTTAGACTACAGTGTACTAGTGTTTCATCCTTAAAATAAAAAGCACATATTTAATGAAACAAAATATTAAAAGAAATTTCAAATGATAATTTTATGTATTCATGATCACCAAAAACATTTATTAAAGAACCCATTCATATGTGGAATTTTACATTTATCATACATTACTGTGTGTGTGGCACAGCAATTTGGGATTGGTCCCTGGACCAGCAAGGACCATCAGCATCATCTAGGAACTAGTTAGAAATGCAAATTCTCCAGTTTCACTTCTGATAATTCAGAAATTCAGTAGGGGGTAGAGAGACGAGCTTAGCAATCTATGTTTTAAATAAGCCCTTCAGGTGATTTGGATGCATATTCCAGTTTGAGAACCACTACTCTGAGTTCTACAGATGCCAACTTTCTATTAAGTAAACCACACATATACTCTCCCTTCCCCCCCTTTTTTTTCACAATTAGCATATGGAAGTTTAGAGTCTAATTATTAAAAAAAATACATATATTCTATTCATATACCTCCTTATCCTTAAACCTTTTATAAAGAATTTTATCTTAGAAAATGGATGTTTTAGTATCAGTTGAATATGTTTCATAGACATAAACATCGTTTAACTAAATTAGCAGTCCATGACAATTTGTCGTCTTTGATTACCAAACCTTTTGTCTCAAGAGGATAAGAAAGTGAGGATCATTCAATCTAAGATATGTGCAAATATTTATATTTCTCAAATCTTGAATGCTTAAAAAAACGAGGTTTCTATCTGTAGTAACACTTTAAAAAAAATAAAAAATAAAGCTGCTAATAACTACCACTCAAATTTTTCAGCGTGTTTAAGATGAATTAAAATGAAATACAAATGTTCATACCTTGTGATTCCACATCTTATTAGCTGGAGTGTTTCTTTTAACCTAAAGTTAAACTCTGGGGAGGCAAAGAGCAAAAAATACTCTAGATATGCCTCATTTTCTTTTAATAGCATATCAGACTATGCATTTCAAGGTATTCTCTTTCCTACAACTGAATCATAAATAATTCTACTACTTCTTCATCTACAGCCTATCTAAATTTTAATCATTCTTCTTTATCCACGTCTGTAAAATTTCTCATTTATGCTCAGCCAATTCTTCTTTCCTTCTCTATTTACCTTCACATTGAATTAAAAATTATATGGCCAAACTTGTTATCATGACCACATCAATTCCTAACATAAAAGTCCAGCAAAATCTCTTTTTCAGTTTCTCCACTAACTTGCACATCAAATCAACACTACTCATAATCAGTTTCAAAATTTTTCTTTCTCTTGCTACTTATCCTCTAATAAATACCTTAAATACTTAGGACTTCTGGATATCTTTCATGTCTCTTTGGCTAGGCAAAGGCTAAAGTACTGAACTCTCAGAACTATACATGATAGTTAAGATTTAAATAATATGCTTTTCCTCAAGATAAATTTTTTATGAGAACCAAACCATATCTCCAATTACAGGGTACCAGTAACAAAGGCTAAATAAAATGTTTTCCAATATTATATAACAGATACATATTTTTTGCTAATATCAAGAAATTGCAGGCAAATGGTAAATACAGTGACCATATATTAATTTAGTTAGCAAAAGATGAGATATTCAGTTTTCAAAGCTTTTCTGGTACCCTAAAATATAAATTTTTAAATCACACCCAGAGAGCATATTAAAGGTTTTATTAGTCAGCATTAAGAGATCATGCTTCTGAGAGTCTATTAATAAAGTTATTGGTATTAGGTAATACGCAAAAATAAGAATAGGAAAAGAAGTATGCTCTTGCATAAGGTTAACTCATTGAGACCCACATTATATTTGGTCCTTTAGGAAAATATGATGCTGACCCAAAAAAAGGTGAAATCTAGGCAAGAAATAAAATTAGAATTTGTTGGGAGATATTAAAAAAAAAAAAAAATCACAAGGGTCTCAAGAGTATCGGGTTAAGAATTAATGTGTATACAAAAATAAAAGCCTAATTTATTTTCAAAAGGTACCTGATACACACCAAACCGGGGACCCTCGCATTAGACTATGCTCAAAATAAAAACATTTAAGAACACCTAAGACATGTTTATAGTAAATATGTAAAGCTATTCAATCATTTGTATTCTTTTAGGTATTTTGGGCTAGTATTTTAAATAAGGAATTTAACTTCTTTATTATCCCCACCTCTACAGATAATATACTTACCAGGTCTAAAACTAGGGAGAATTCTGGTGTGCTTCTTGTTTTCAGTGGAAGAGCAGGTTTCCTATTTAGTTGTTCTTCTGTCAGTGGTGGAACGTGTTTGATGAAATAATAGCTATAAACCAAATTTTAAGAAAATTTCAACATTTAAACTTTTTATAAATATAAAACATATTACTAAATTCATCTTTAAATCTTTAATTAAATAATGCATATTTAACCTAGTAAACCAAACTTATAAAACATGTAAATAAAACTGAAAATATACAAATTAGTATTTCAGTAACTCACTAAAAGTATTAATACCCACAGAACACATGCTCTTTGCACTATACCACTCAGCCACCCTTCCACACATGTACTTTCATTCTGCTCCAAGAGAGAAAGAAAAAAAAAAAAAAACTCACGGGTCAAATACTTCCCAGTCTTCTTCATAGGTGGCCTCTGCATGGGCTGATGAATAACCACTATCTGGAGTTACTGGTGCTATTTAATAAAGTGAAAAACAAAATGTTACTTTTACCCACTTAATGCTTCTATGAAGTATACATTTTTACTGCTTTTCTATAAGATCTTCCTGAAGTTCTGTGTATTTTAGGTTAAAGATAAGACAGAAATAATTTGTAAACAGTATTTAAAAGCAGATTTAACACAGAGATCTAACTCCCAGATCCAAAGGAAAAAATTACCATTTACAGACAAAATGTCAAGCTAGCTCATGGCTAGCAGAATTAAAATCCCTAAAAGCTAAGAGAAAATTTACTGCTTATTACTAGAAAAATACACTCCACAAAAATTCAGTATCTAACTGGATGGTGTTTATACGTATAACCATAAAAATTTCACAGTGCTATTATAGCAGTAATACTTCACAAAGTGCCCTGTACACAGTCAATATATGTGTGCTGACAACAGACCAAAAGGTACTTTTTAACCCGAGATCCATAACAGTCTTTTAAGAGGTCCGTGAACTTCTTGGAGATTTATGAAAAAATGTTGTATGTACATTTTTCCAGAAACCTTAAGGCCGTCTATGATCTTAACAAGAAATGCTGCTCTATATAGAAATCACTGCTTTAGAAGACCCATTATTTTACTTCTAATTTATAAGCAACTTAAAAATAATTAAGAAGGAATTCTATATCCCATGACACATAGTCCGTTCTATTTTTGAGCTAAAATTGTATTAACTGATAGAGCTTTAGAAATTATGTTGGGAATTTTCTTTTCTTTTTTTTGGTGACGAAGATTGGCCCTGAGCTAACCTCTGTTGTCACTCTTCCTCTTTTTGCTTAAGGAAGATTTTCCCTGAGCTAACATCTGCGCCAATCTTTCTCTATTTTTTTTGGTATGTGGGACGCCGCCACAGCATGACTTGATGAGCAGTGTGTAGGTCTATGCTCAGGATCTAAATCCACGAACCCACAGGCCTCGGAAGCAGAGCGCAGGAATTTAACCACTATGCCACTGTGCCAGCCCCAGGAATTTTCTAAGACAATAATTACAACTTAAAATTCAAGTGGAGGACAGAGATAACTTACAAGTTAAACAGGTAATGTCTCAGAGATAAAAGTTTAAGGTGGATACTAAAGACCGAATGTTTGTGTCCCCCCCCAAATTCATATGCTGAAACTTAATCCCTGATGTGATGGTATTTGGAGGTGGAGCCTTTGGGAGGTCATGAGGTCATTGGGTAGGTCATAAGGGTGGAGCCCTCGTGAATGGGATTAGTACCCTTATAAAGGAGACCCCAGAGAGCTTACACAGCTTCTTCTACATAGCCATGTGAGGACACATCAAGAAGACAGTTGTCCATGAACGAGAAAGCAGGCCCTCACCAGACGCCAAACCCAATGGCACTTTGATCTTGGATTTCCCAGCCTCCCAAACTGTGAGAAATAAATTTCTGTTGTTTATATGCCATCTAATCTATGGTAGTTTGTTAAAGCAGCCCGAAAGGACTAAGACAGTGGAACTCAATAAGAATTGCTGTAATCTGTCTATAGGAATGGAATACTGGTGGATAAAAGTCTTTCAGGACAAAAACTAACCTTTTTTTTTTGCTATTATCATATATTAATACCTTCTGAGACAGAGCCAATACAGTGTGTATGGTCAATGAATGACAACAGACGTACAGCAGAATTTTTGTTCATCTGTAACCTCTTTATGTTTCTAATAATGGTTCATTAGCACAAGGGGATAAAGGAAAATATGTATCTTCCAACCACGTTACTGTTTCAAATTCCTATTAACCTCAAAGAAAGGTGAGAGGAAGTAACATTTGAGTGCCTTCATGTTAAGCATTTTTCATATTTCATCTCATTTAGCCTTCAAAACCCTGAATTATTATTACCATTTTAAAGCTAACGAAACTGTCTCAGAGAGCTTAAATAAGTCATCCAAAGTCACACAGTTAAGTAAGCGGTAGGGCCAGCCTCCTTCCTTTTTGTTCTCTTTGGCTACATTCTTGAAGTTAAGGAAAAGTAATAGTTTTGTCACTCATACTCATCTTTTAAGATCAGGAAAAATTTTACTTCTAGCTTCTTGTGATCCTCCTAATCAGAGTAATTGCAATGTGCCACCTCATCATTTTGATCATTTATTTGTAATAGCACTCACCATACTATCCAGTAATTTTTGTGTCTATTTGGCTCATCAATCAGATCATGTACTCTTCAGGGTCAAGGAGCATATCTTATTCATCTTTATAAATGGTTCCCACCACAAAAAATAGGTGTTTAATAACAGGAGAATAAATGAATGAATGAGACAACTGGAGTAGATCTTACTTTTCCCCTCTAGAAACCACTAAGGTTATAGAAATCCCTTCTCTATTTTCATAGTTGCCAGAAAAAATAGAAAGGTTTATATAGCAACACAAAAATATAAAACAAACATCAAACAGGAAGTCAAGAGACCTGGACTTTATACGTTACCATTTACTAGCCTTTAACATTGGGCAAAATAATCAGCATAAAATGATAGGTCAACAGTGGGTTCATCTGCAAGTCTTATCCATCCAAGAATGAACTATGTGCATAATACATGTTGATTTGCTTGTTAGATTCAGTATTACTCCTAAATTATAACATTATAATTTAACATTATAGATATTAACATTATAAATAATATGTTTAACATTATAGATATTAATCTTTGATGAATTTAAAATAAATCATTATGTTGCTTTTCTCTTCATATTGGTATTAATGGGTTGCACTGTATAGAAGTTTCATAATTATATGCATTTTTTTATTTAAATGTTTTCTGCTGTTTCAATGATTTTTTTTTTAAAGTCTCCCCTTTATATTTGAGAGAAGAATATCATTCTACTTCCTTACCAAACTGTAGTTCTTAACTATATTTACTAAGCTCTCTCAAATACCTGGCACCACAAGGAATAAAAAAAACAAAACCTAAAATAACCTTCCTCTGGGAAAAGATGGCCACCCTCAGTTTTATTTCTGCTTTTAAGCATGATAGAACATAATTTCATCTTTTAGCTTTATATGTCTTTATCTACCACAACCCTCTGATCTCACATATTTCTACATTTCCATGATAACTGGTTCAGGGACCCAACAATTTTGTTAGGCCTTTATAAGGATCCAGAATTAGGCTGCAAAGTTTGGGTACAGGGAGAGATCCAGGAACAGAAGGCTTCTTTTTTGGGAATGTCATCTATGTACGAAACAAATCTGAAGGTATGAAACTGCCTCTAGATAGAGACTTCAGACCTAGGGGTCTAAGACTGGTGCAATTACAATAAGTATGTTCATAAACATGAGCATATGTTTTGCTGGTTGTGTTAAAATTTCTCCGAGTAATAAGACTGGTACAAACAATTAAACTGTAAAATGACTAATAGTCAAAACAACTTTAAAAAAAATCCAATTTCAAAATGTCTCCCAAAATGACTGGATTTTTGGGAAAAAGTTTTATTTCCAATTTCAATTTTCTTAATTTCAAGGAAGAAAAACTTATGCATTTAATCTGCCTATTTAAGAAAAAATATGAAATACTGTATTTTTATAAACTATTCATGAAGACGCATAAGAAAAGGAATTTTCTTCACCTGTAAGGGGTGGGATATCACGATTAACTGTTTCTTCTGCTTCTTCTAAACCATTATTTATCGATGGCCTCACTTGAACTGCTTGATTTGAGTAAGCTGCTCCATTAGTTGATGTAGTAGTACTGGTAGTGATCTCATCCACCTGTTCCATATCAAGTTGTTTTACTATCTCTTCAGCTTCCACAGCCTGTCCTGGGGAATCGGATCCTGATGTTCCTGAAATCATGAGTCAGTGTACTCACAATCATTTAAAACTCACTGGAGGTGGGGGGATAGGAGAGATGTTGTTTAAGGGTACAAACTTACAATGAGTAGTAAATAAGCCCTAGAGGTCTAATGCACAGCACAGTGAATATAAACAACAATACTGTATTATAATCATCAAACTTGCTAAGCAACTAGAACTTAATTATTCCAACCACTAAAAAGGATAATTATGTAACATGATAGAGGTACTAATTATCACTACAACGGCAATCATATTACAATATATAAATATATCAAATCAACATGTACACTTTAAACTTAAACATTATAGTCAAATATATTTCAATAAAAATAAAATTAAATTAAAATTAAAAAAATAGAAACATAAATATTTAGAAAAACTAAATGCAACAGAAACAAAGCTGAGGATACCATTGTCTAGTTAGTCTTTTCTACACATTCCAAACAATGAGGATTAAAAACTATTATAAGCTTGAGTAATATGTGTGAACAAAGTTTTTCTTAAGAGTGTTCAAATAGTTTAGAAACACCCATTTATAGTCAGTCATAATTTGCAACTTTTTAATTTTTCACTAAGATATAATTGACATATAACATTGTGTACATGTTGATTTAATACATTATATATTGCAATATGATTACCAAACCAGCATTAGCTAACACCCATATCCTGCCACATAATTATCATTTCCTTTTTGTGTTGAGAACATTTAAGATCTAGTCTCTTAGTAACTGTGAAGTATATAATACAGTATCGTTGACTACAGAACTTCTTTTCATTAAAGCAAATATTTATTATGTGCCTAGTATGTGCTAGGCTTTATATATATATATATATAATATCTATTCATTATCCTCAAACAGCTCCTGATCCTTCCAGCACTAGGCATCCTAAGCCACTGTGAGCAGCTGGAATTTTTAAACCAGAGGTAGTTATCTATGAATGAGCTGTTTCCCTAACCATGAGACTCTTTTAGTCAGAGACCCAAGAATAATTTCTCGACAAGATTCCCTCTCAATAACAGAGACTGAGGTTAGCTTCCTCATTATACACAGCCATCACCTAGATGACCCTGCTGCCCAATTGTTCTTCCACTATGGAATGACCCCAACTCTTATATTTCTATACGGAATCCTCCAAATATCATTTTCAACAACAAAATTAACCTCCAATACTCTCCAATACTCTCAACTTCCTCACAGAATATTCCTTCTCCTTCATTGCTTTAAATTTAACCTTTTTCCAAAAAAAATCTCTTTTCCTGATACCGTTCCCTCAAAGCTCTTTATTCTTCCATACTCAATGTACTAACTGAATCAGAAGTCATTTACCTCCATTGTTGCTACCAGACTACTGGTTTTCCACTAATGTGCAAAAATGTCTGCTCCGGGAGACTGATGTCATCTGGCTATACAATTCTTCACTTATCCCCACTCCTGTCATCTACCATCTATTGCCAGCATCCTCTCTCAATCACAGAGGAATTTAACATCTAGCTACCAGTTTACTGCTCCATTAAACTTCTGTCTAGTTGTTATTACAGGTGATGTCAATGACTCATCCAATGACGAATCCTCAAAGGTCTTGCCCTCTTTAGCTCCATTTTCATTCATAATACTCTTTAGCAATTATTATTATTTTTTTTTGTGAGGAGATCAGCCTTTGCTAACATCTGCCAATCCTCCTCTTTTTTTGCTGAGGAAGACTGGCTCTAGGCTAACATCTGTGCCCATCTTCCTCTACTTTATATGGGATGCCGCCACAGCATGGCTTTACAAGTGGTGCGTCGTTGCACACCCAGGATCCGAACCGGCGAACTCCGGGCTGCCGCAGCAGAGCGCCTGCACTTAACCACTTGCGCCACCGGGCCGGCCCCCCTCTTTAGCAATTATTACCAGGGCCATAACCTGGAGATTAACACTAAGAAACTGTTCACCTCTGAAACCCAAAATTCAAATATTGGTCCTCTATACAACCTCCTAATCTTCTAATTATCTCTCTCTCTCATACTCTTATTCAATGTGACCTTCATGTTTGATAAAGGCCAATCTCTTTTATTCCAAACACATCCCTCAATGGCTGCTTCCCCACCCTTCTCATCTAGTTAGACTTCATGATGTGGTACTTAAAACCACTCTCAAGCCAGCAGCCTCAGTGTCCTTGCTCCCTTGTCTTTCCACTGTCATCCATCATAGAATCACTCTTGAATCAATCTAACAGACTTCTCATGTACTAGTCCCAGGCTACTAAAGAGAACAATACAATTATAAAGACTGGTTGTACTCCAAATAAAACACTCTAATCTTAGCTAGGCGTATAGCATGCTGCTCAGTACTTGTGTGCATCAGTCTGCTTCTTTTACTTATACTCAACAGCAAACATTTTAAACCTTCACCATTCTCTTCAATCGCTGACATCACCTCCTCCTTCAAAGAAAAAACTGTAACTACGTATCAAACATCAACTCTGCCCAAACGTGTATTTCTGCACACACCTTCCCAGCTTCTTTCCTCCAGCATCAGAGAAAAATGTCTCTTCCCAGTTTCAATTGTAATCATTCCACCTGTTTTCTGTCAGTAGACTCCAGAATCTTTATTAGTTATTCTTTTTCCTCTACTTTCAACCTCTTCCTATTAGACTCTTCCCTGAGGCTTAAAAACATGCTTGTCTCTCACAAAAATACAGACCATCCCTTGAGGCTTTGTGACCTCTCTAGTTTCTTTCACATTCAAGTTCTCATAACAGTAATCGACACTTGCTGCTTCGTGTCTTACCCTCCATTTTACTCTTTTAACCCAAGGATGTTAGTGTTCCAACTCCAACCATTCCTCTGAAACTGTTCTGGCAAAAAAAACCAATAACCTTTTAATTGCCAGGTTTAGTGGTGTCTTTTCAATGCTCATTTCCTTTTTTTCTATCTTTACAAATGTTTGACCCTGGGTTTTGATATTCTCTCTTTCTTTGGCTTCTATGACACAATTTCCCTTCTAGCTTCCTCCACCATGTCTCCTTTGTTGCCTTCTTTTACTGTGTCCAGTCCTTAGATGTTTTCCCCCAGGATTCTGGTCTTAGTTTGTTGAACCAAACAGATCACTTACTCCACTGGTTTCAACTAAAACCTATAAGTTGATAATACCATGGTCTACTGCTTAAACCCAGATTTTTAAGCTCCACACCAGAATAACAAACTGCTACTAGACATTTTTGATTGTTTCATGGCATCTCAAATTCAGCACAGCCCAAATTAATTTCAATTATCTATCTCCCAGGAACTTCTCTCTCTTGAAAATCTAACCTTGTGTCATCTTAATCTCTCTTCTTTTTCACCTCCAATCTGTCCCCAAAATTTCTCCATTCTGTATCTCTGATCCTTCTTCTCTTATACCACAATCAAGGTCACATGACGTCTCACATGGACTACAAGTCTACTAATTGTTCTCCCTGCATCCAGCCTCTTAAGAATCTAGCCTACACACTACTGCCAAAGAGATCTTTAGAAGACACAAATCTGTTCATATTACTTACCAGTTTAAAACCTTTCAAACATCCCCCACTGACTAAGGATAAAGTTCAAATATCTTACCATGTTAGCTCTATAATCTGACTTCTGTATAACTCTCCTATCTTATCCCTTACTGTGCACTCCTCAAATCCAATGCTCCATCTGTGACAAACTAATTTCAGTTTCTCAAATACGCTATGTCTTTGCTCATGCTGCTCCCTCTACATGGAACGCCCTTTACCACCTTTCAAGATTCAGCTTTTCTATGAAGCCTTTTGTGAGCCGCCACCCCGAATACACAACTCCATTCTCTGAATACCCTACTGCCCCATAACTCCACCAATGCTCCTACAAAAATTTATTATGCTTGGGGCTGGCCCGGTGGTGCAAGCGGTTAAGTGCGCACGCTCCGCTGCGGCAGCCCAGGGTTCGCCGGTTCGCATCCCGGGTGCACACCGATGCACCACTTGGCAAGCCATGCTGTGGCGGCGTCCCATATAAAGTGGAGGAAGATGGGCACAGATGTTAGCCCAGGGCCAGTCTTCCTCAGCAAAAAAAAGAGGAGGATTGGCAGATGTTAGCACAGGGCTGATCTTCCTCTCACACACACACACACACACACACACAAATGATAATCC